TAATCCGTTTTTCTAAAATGTTCCGGTCAGAAGTTTTGGTAAAAAATAAATTTAGACAATTGAATGTCAAAAAATAATAAATCTTTTTAAATTATCGTTGTTTTTTCAAGCCGGAACTCGTAAAAAACCAAATTTATCTCTTTCAGTATCAGCTGTCGTCTTGTGTTCGCGTGTTTATATTGAAGTACATTTGTCTACAACAAAATTTTCTCTTTCCCACAATTGCCTAAAAGTTGAGTGAAAGGGAAGGGGTCAATTTCCGGTAGGTTGGCAAAAAAATAAAATAAAAAATAATGTAAGAAACAAAGCACAGCAATAAAAAGAAAGTCAGGGAACGGCAATAAATTTTTATGTCTTGTTTACACAAAAATGAACAGACATTTATACATATAACACCTGTTATATTTTGCTATTTAATATTCAGCTAGAATTAATAGTAATTAAGAAATTCTTTAAAATTAAGAAATTAGAGAAAAAATTAGGCGGGGAACAGGCCAAGGCACCGCAAAGGCAATGTACCGCCAAGGTTCAATGTACCGCCAAGGTTCGAATTATTAACAAAAAAAACAAAAAAATTCCATAGTGTGTTTTGTATATGCTTTTGCCCCTCATTGCTTCGTTTATATTGAGGGAGGGAATTAAGAAAAAGGAGACCGGAAATGCGAATTGGGAAAGGAATTGTGAAGGTTATTTATATAAATGTGAGTGGTATAAGGCCCGTGGAGAATATGTGGGGAATGGAGGAGGAAATGGACAGAATAGAATGAATGATGGATGGATGAGTTTACTTCCGACAATATTTAGTACTTTTAATGCTTTTTTGCAATTCTAAGCTTTGATGAAATTGCAGGCAAAGCCCACTGATCAAATATCTACTATATAAAATTATGTTGAGAGAATGAAGTAATTGTCTGATTAAAGTTTTTTAAAATTAAAGGATTATAAATTTAAAAAAATTGAGAAAATAGGGGGGAAGCCTTCTTAACAAAGTTTAATTAAGATAAGGTATAAAAATTTAAAAAATGGATCTTCCAGTGTCAGAAATTATTTTGGAAACAAACACAATTAATTCTGCTGCTATTGTCCGGAAATATTTATCTGCACGCCCTTTCATTTACTTACAGCATGGGGACATAAATACACATCCGCTTTTTCGTTTAGTTTGTGGGTGGGAGTGGAGGGCAAGTGAATGCATTAAGATAACCGGAAACGTAAAAAAACACAATAGCTATTCAACCATAAATGGGAAAAAGTAGAAAGAAGGATTTTGTTTTATTGCTATCAGTCAAATGTAAGCGAATAAAAAATTATTTTTTGGGGACAATAATGAAAAAATAAACAGAATTTAAAATTAACATTTCCGGTAAACTTTAAAAGAAAAATACAAAACATTTCTACTAACCCCGTCGTTCCGCTCGACATGCCCGGCTTCCTCCGCAGCGGCAAAAACTTTTTTCCGCGAAGAGAGACTTATTTGAAGAGCTCGGTGAAAAGAGTCGAATGACACCAAAATCAGCTCGATTGGATGATTATGAACAAAGTTATAGTTGCTCACGCCGAAAACATGCTGCGCCGAAAAACTGGCGCCGAAAAACTGGCGCCGAAAAAAACTGGCGCCGAAACAGTTTTTTAGATTTTATTTTTGGCGTTCTGTTTACGCCAAATCCGGGTGCAGCCCAAGTAGGCGCGCGGCCAAGTAGGCACAAGGCCATAACTTGCTTCAAAATTTCTAAATCTGCCCAAATTTATTATTAAACGATTTCTCTCAACGAGCTAAAGAGAATGGACCAAAATTATTAAGGTCCAGAAAATTTCCAGATAGTTATGGCTTTGCGCCTACTTGGCCGCGCGCCTACTTGGGCGTGTCCCGCCAAATCCGTTTCGAAATATTTTTCCTTTGCTTCTTTTTAACCTTATATTTCTTCCTTTTATTCTCCTTCTTTTATCTTTTAATTCTTTTTGAGTCTCATTTATTTCCAAAGTTTTATATTTTCTATATTTTCAAAGTTTTTATACCCTTGTCAACATATTTTTCGGTTTTTTTAGTTTTATGTTAGAAACGTCATATAATTTAATGTTTTCTACTATTGAATTTATTAAACGTCATAAGCGCAAAAGAATTAGTTTGGATGAAAAATTTAATTTAGTGGATTTTTATCTTTTACTGGAACAGACAATTGCTAAAATGAAAAGGATTCTTGGAGGAAAAATTTTTGTGTGCCGAGATGAGAAAAGGTTTGAAAATTTTTTTAATTTTAAAAGAGGTCTGTAGTAACTTTAGGGCTAGCATCCACACCTTTCTGTTAGCCCTTTTCACTTTATTAAAAATTAAAATTTCCACTGTTATTCCCTAATAAAAACAACGTCTGTTAGTCACTTTAAGAGAAAATATTTCTTTTCTTCCTTTTTAATCTCAGCGGCGGTCGTCTCTTTTTCGGTTTGCAATCAGCAACAATCAAAAGCAACATACATATAAACTGTAGCGCAAGTCCGCACCCCTTCACTGCTACTTTTAACGTCTAGAACCCACAGGCCTAATTTGTTTGCTTCGTCGAAAAAAATTAACCATACAATAACAGGCTCTCTCCAAACATTCCATTGCTCCACTCATTAAATCCATTTGACTTTCTTTTCACTATTCCTTCGCGCAATGAGCAGCACTATTCACCACACATATAAACTTTTATTGTGTGGCCTATTTATAATTATAAATTATTATCACCTCATAGCCCCTGTTTAAAAATCCAAATATATCCGATCAGTCATAAGTAAAGAAATATTTTAATCAACCACAATCGCACAAATATCAACTTCTTTCAACCTCTGCATTATGTGAGAAACTGGTCCTTTCATTTCCCGATTGAGAAATAGTAAACATATTCATGCTTTTAGTTCATAATATTTGCTCCAATTAATCTGTAAAAAATCTATTATATTTCTAAGGTTTCAGTTTAGTTCCAAACCAGAAGGATTTAATCGATATTTACCTAGTTTTAAGACAAAGATCTTTGCCAATTTTATTAATTATATTAAATCGTTTCCCCTTGACTTTCAGGTGATGTACAGAACAGGTTTTGCAACAAATGGTTTCCCCGTCCAATACAATGCCGGCTCCAATGAGGGAATTGCAGGGGACTATCGTCAACAGAATCGACAGCGTGCTATTATTAATTTGAAACCGGAATCAAGTAATATATTTTCGCGACAACAAAACTATGGGATAAGAAACAACAACCAACAACAAAACACGGCTACTAATCAGCTGAAGCAGAGGTTAGATTTTGGCTTTAAACTTATGTCTTCAATAGACATTTTTAATCTCTAGAGTAGGGTTGTCGGTTTCACCAAGTTATTCGGTTAACCGAACCGAAATTTTAGGTTCGGTTAACTTTGTTTGAAGCCGATAACCCTACTCTAGAGTGATAACTGCACAAATCTAGTCTCATTTTTAATTGTAATTTCTGCAATATGGCATTAGAATCTCCTTTTATTTGCTTTCTTTGTTTTTGTAAAATTAAACGACACTAATCCGTTTAAAAAGAAATTTCCTATGTATTTTTACCGCTCATCCTCTTCATATCCTTTTATTATTCACTCAGATTTTTCTCTTTTCTACTTTTTATTCATTTCATTGCCTTTTGCTTTGATCACTGTTTTTCGTGCGCGAGTGCGCATAAATGCGCCAACAATGTTTATTTGTTGTGCTCTCCGGCGAAGATGCTATTCGCTAAAATCAATAAATCGAACAAAGAATAGAATATGCGGGAGAAACGGTGAGATGTGGACATATTTTTAAGATTTTTGAAAGTTTAGTGTCCACATGAACTTCTTATTAGTTTATTAGCTAAATATCTAATTGATGTGTGGTTTATGATATTTCTAATGTAAGAAAAACAATTTCTCCCTAAACAAAATTTGTTTTAAAAGTTTAAATTAAAACAATAGAAAAAATATTTCTTAAAGTTTTTCCCTTTATTGTTTATTTTTTGAGTCCCTTTATATTATGTATAGATGCCGCCTCTCTTTGTACAACGTAAAAAATCGTACAAAAGTTGAATTTGTTGTTTTGGCCCTGTTTTTGGTTCTTTCTATTTTTTTATTTCATTCTTTTACTAATTCCCTCCAATCAAAACGAAACAATCAAATCTCTTCTTTCTCTTCACAATGCATTTGTTCGACCGAAAAATTGTGTTGTGTTCTCCTTCCTTTATTAATCCGCATGTCTGTAAGTAAAAACATAATCCTACACTTTTTGATGTGAGTATAGGAACCATTAACAAATAATATTTACAAAAAATAACCTTATTACAAAATTTCTGCCTTTATTTAAAAATTAAATCAATTTAACTTTCCTATCAAAATCGTGTTTTAGGGGAGAGTTGTTTATTAATTCGTTAACCACACTTTGGCGCGCACTGACACTCAACCAGCTTCCCTCTCACTGCCACAACCCCCAAAAAAGTTGCTGATTTCTAATGACTAGCGCCTCACTGTATTGCGCCGAATTATTTTGCTCGTTATTAATTTTTTAAAAATTCTTGTTTCCGATATTGATGTTTAATTCAATGATTACTCCGTACAACTAGCTTATCAGTTTCGCTAGAAATATTTAACACATTTCATGAATTAATGTAAATACAATTATATTTTTCTTTTTCCACCCTATTTCCTTTCATTTGTAAATTACTTTTTTTTTGTTTAACGGTTTTAATTGAAAAATTTAATTTTTTGATTAAAATCCCCTTTATTTTTAGTAACCTCTACGGCTCTAGCCCTGTTTTGAATCTTAATTCTCTTCCTTTCAAACTGGCCACCACTGGCACGCAGCATTACGCAACGAACGATCCAACACCGAATACTTTAGGAAATCGAAAGCATTATCATAGTAGTGTCGATGTTGCTGGAAATAACTTTTATAATAACAACTTGAGGCAAAATGGTCATTTCAATTCCACAAACACGGCAGAACAGAACAACAAAAACACTCCTTACTAGTATAGATGTGTTTTAATTTTTTAATTTTTGTTTTATACAGTTACTCAACGACGAACAACGCTAATAATACTCCACGGACACAGCGTGAACATTTCCATACAACAACCACAACATTAAAGAGCAGCAACAAAGAACTACCAAATCAACAACAAAAAAATTCCATGGATTATAGGGTTTTTCTTATTTTTTAATTATTTCGTTGGTAACGGCATTTAAATAGCAGAACGTTCCCAATTCACTTTTACCACCTGCTTCCAGTAATGGTGCCTTCACACGGCGTCATACGGCCGCAGGACCTCATGAATTCTCTACTCCGCAGCAACCAATTACTCAACATATTCCTGCTTACGGTGTGGAACATTTGGCTTCATTTGCAGTCGGAAAACTTTTTGGATTGATTACTCCTACGGTTTTTAACATTTCTTTAGCTTTCTTAAATTTTAATATTTTCAGGATGGTATTCGAAAGTTGAAGCAAATGGAAAGAAACAGCGCAATTTGGTAGTTTTCATTCTTTCTCACTAAATTTCGTTTTTAGTCCTGTTCCTATGCTTTTTACACTGCACCCAGATCGCGTAGCTGTTTTAGAAGAAAATGGGGTAAACTTTAATTGAATATGTTTTAATCTTTTAAACTTTCAGGCACTAGTTGAAGAATTTCCTCTCAATTTGGTGACTGACCCTTCAGCACATATTAGTACAGATACAAGTGATCTTTTCAATAACGTTCTTCTCTTTGTTGTACGTGAGCATGATGTGCCAAACAGAAGTGGAGGGGTTGTACCAACAGAAATGCATATCTTTCAGGTAATTTTAGAGTTGTTTTAATATTTTCAATTCGAAATTATTTTAATAGTGCATTGGTGTTTCTGCCCAAGAAGTGGCAGGAGATTTACATCATTACACGCGTGGTCATTTTCACAAAGTGAGACCTGGACGGCGCGGTGGCGCCGCCAACTCAGCTTTTGTCGCTTCTCGTTATGCGCCTTATCATGCATCCGGACAGATTGAAAGAGGAACTGGTTATCCCAATGGTAGCCATCTAAATCGTGATGATTTATCAGGAGAGTCAGACAGTACAGAATTTTTTGAAATGGACGTGGTAACTAATTTCTTTTAAAAATACTTCATCTAATCACAGAACACATTAAATCGATGCTTTGATGACATTGAACGTTTTGTTGTTCGAATTCAATCTGCAGCAATTGCACAGCGGGAATTAGAATTACAACAACGGAGTAATAGTAAAAAGAAGGGAAGAAAAAAATCTGGTTTTTAAAAATTAAAAAAATAAATAAAAATGCAATTTATTTAAAGATATCAAACTTGCACAACAAAACAGTATTTTACAACTTCGAGCTCAAATTCCTTCTTATGGGGAGTTTACAGAGATTTTTCGAAAATTTAAATTATGCTTCAATCTTTTGGTAAGTAAATTATTTTTGGAATTTTTACTAATTTAAATCAACAGGCTAAATTGAAAAATCACATTCATGAGCCAAGTGCGCCTGAACTTTTACATTTTCTTTTTACTCCGTTGACTGTAATTTTGGATGCTTGTCAATGGGGACTTGGGCAACAAGTTGCTCAACAAGTTTATAGTCCTTTACTTTCCTTGGAGACATGTGAATTGCTTCGAAACTATTTATTTCCGAAGGAGATGGATGTGTGGAATGCCTTAGGGAAGGCTTGGAATACTGCGCCGTAACACATTTAATGCAAAATGGCATTTTTAAATATTTTCTTACAGTGAAGATTGGGTTGGTCAGTTGCCTCCACCCTATCGTCCATTGTTTCTCGATGGGTTTGCTCCATACGGACATCCAGGACAAACAGGAGGACTTGAACATTCAAACTGGGACAACTTGAGTATTGGCTCGCCAGCAACTAGTTATCCTCAACATCATTTGCGGTACTTTTTAATATTTAATTTGTAGAACATTCGTTTTTAGTTACGGTGGGTCCGTTCCAGCACCAATCCATCGAGGTGTATCTGCACCAGTTCCATCTGGAGAATTTCATCCCTCCGTTGCAAATGGCGGAGGAGGTTATTTTTCTCCTCCGAGCACAAGAAGTAATGACAATAATGCTTCATTGGCCAATCTTGCTGCAAAACTTGACAGTGTAAGAGTTAATGATGAGGTTTGAGATTTTTGAGGGGAATCTAATGAGTAATATATTGGAATTTTGTTTGCTAATTAATTATTATTCCTAGATTGAATTAGCTCGTATAAATTTGGAGAAAGAACGTCTTGAATTTGAAAGACGGAAGGTTTTGGATAAGGAACGTCAGCTTCTAGAGCAAGAACAACGGCTTCGTGATGAAGCTGAACGACTCGATGAAGAGGTGATATTAATTGCAGAATTTCTAAAGATTTAAATTTTCAACTTGTAGAGGCGTAATTTGCACCGAGAAAGTGAGAAACGCTCAATTGCCGAATCCGATAGACCTGATTTTTATAGAGGGTATTAATAATTTTGATATATATTTTTGAAAATATTTTTATTCGAAAGAATCCCGTCTATGCATGCAAGCCCTCGTTTGGATCGCCATTCAGGCTCTATTCAAATACTTCCCAGTGAAAATAATCGTCAACATACTCTGGCCCCAGCAACTCCTCCATCCAATCTTTCTGGAAATACAACATTTGATGGAAGTAGTAATATTAATATAAGTAGTGGCAGTCCACGACTTTCAAATTCTAATTCTATGCAGGTGATATCTGAAGCATTATTTGATTTCGAAGCACTACATTAAATTTTAGTTGTTGGAGCAAAATTCTCCTCGACAAAAGGCTTTCCTTGATGAATTATCAAGACGGGGAAGTAAAGTTGTTCAAGTTACTTATGATAGAAATGCATGCAATTCTAAAGTTTTTTTGCTATCCTTAATTATTTTTTAAACTTTTTTTAGGAATTAACTGTATCTAGAGGTGAATATTTGGAGGTAATTCTTCATGATATTCGATTTTTAAAATTTTGTTTCTATTTAAAGGTCCTCAACGACTCTCGTAACTGGTGGGAATGTAGAAATGTCCACAGTCGTTCTGGATTTGTGCCTCATACAATTCTTTCTTTGCTTGCATTCGAGGACTGGGATCAGCAAAGTGATGAAATTGATGATTCCTTGAATGCGGTAGGATTAATAAGAAGAAATCAGATATTTTACAAAATAATATCTTACAGCGGATTGTTGTTGACAATAATCGACCTACTAACAATCAACATCTACAACACAAGCAAAGGACGCAACGCTTCTCAACACCTGGTTCAGCAGCTACAGGTCCTTCACATTCTTCTTCATCTAACTCTAGTACCCCAGACTTAATTCGCCAGCGGACAGGTCCTAAAGGGGAGTTTCGTTATTTTTAAAAATAATTTGCAAGGGTAATGATTTGCCCTTTGTTTTTTTTGTTGCCATCAAATAATTGTTTTTAATATTTTATATTAATCTTCATATATAGTTTTCCCTTGTTTAGTTCTTGCTTTTTCTTCTACCCTTATTAAAAATGTATATTAAACGTTTCTTGATTCGGACCTCGCTTACAAGATTATTTGCGCATTTTAGCTCGTTTTCTTCTATATCTCCCAATTTTCTTATGTTTTCTGTCCTTTTTCAACACGTATTTTAAAATATTAGAAGCAATTAAGTAATTGTTTTTTGTTAAATTTATTATTTTGTCAATCTTTCTTTTGTTTCCCAATTGCTCATTTTATAAAATTCTGCATTATTCTTAACTTATTTTTCTAGCCTTCCTCTGAATGTTGTGTCTTGTTTTTTTTCAAATTGCTTCATTTATCCACAAATTACATATCTATTTGTAAATAAACTTGGTCTTGAATGCCCCCTATCTTTTATCGTGTTAACCCTAATATTTTTTTATATATATATTCGCATTGTATTTGTTCTAATCGTTATAGTAAAATTAAATTTTTAAAATTTATTGTTGACAGCTAACTTAACCTAAGCGTTATTTCTTTAAATTTCGGCTAAAATTTTAGTTTTAAATTTGGACGAGAATAAATTGGCTGTTTCCTGTACCAAACAACCTAAAATTCTTAAAATTCCAGTTGAAGTGCGCATGGAACAAAGTTAAAATTTTTTAACTTAACTAAATGATCTTACTTTGCAGGACATGTTCCAAAAATCCTCGAATCAATGCGTCGGAAGGGTTTTCTATTTTCTCGAGGGATTCCGGGGCTCAACACCACGTTAGTTGCTTCTTATATTCCGGATGCTGGATTTGCTGAACCAATGGAAAGACCTCCGGATTCTTGCGTTCAGAATGTTCCTGAGGGTGTTCAATCTATCCGAAGTTATCTTTGAATTTTACGGATATTTATCCTACGGGGACTTAATTATATTCAATTACATATCTCATTAAAATTTGTATATGTTTACATTTATTTAGATAAATAATATTTTTCGATATTTTGGTCATATGTGATCAACTAATCGATCTACCACATTAATTATTTTATCCGCAATTTTTCGGTTGTATCTCGAATTTTATTAAATTGTAAATCTGTTATCTTTCCCTCTCTCACACACTCAAAACTCTCGTTGAACAATTCTGTCTTTTTTTCTTTTTCAAATTTTCATGTATTAGCGCGCAGGTGAAACCGAAAATCAAAAAGTGGTCGTCGCTCCCTCTCATGCGCTCATTTTTTAATTCCATAGGGAGCCGGACACCATTCTTTCATTCAATTTCACTAACTGCCATTCCATCCTAAAAAATTTCTATTAAAATGTCCGCAATTATTTCCACAAAATTTCTTCAACTCTTCATTCAACACAAAATTTTAATCAGTGTAATTAATTACTTTGACTAGCTTCTCTCTCCTTTCACCCCCTAAAACGCGATTAAATTTTGCGTATAACGCGTTTTTGTCTTTTCATTCTTTCGATTGTTATTTAAGTTTTCACTTCTTTATAATGCACAACAATTGCTGAAATATTGCAACAATTAAAAATGTTATAATGCATGAATAATTCTCAATTATATATTTAGAATTCTCAAATGTTTTTTATTTAACTTACCAAAATGTGAAATTTTTGAGAAAAATTATACCTATCTTACTAATCTAATAAAGTTATTAATTAAAAATTAAGCCCAAAATCTTCGCAAATGCACGATCGCTTCCAATTTACATAATAATTCTTTCATTTTCTTTGATCAATCAGTTTTTTAACAAAAGCTTTTCTTAAGTTTTTTTATTGCCTCCTTTCACTCCTTGTATGAAAACCGGTGATGACTAGGATATGACCCCCAAAAATACATATATTGTCACTATTTTCCCTACTAATTCTCACTCCGACAAATTCTTCATTCTCTGCTGTCATCACACCACTTTACACAAAACTATTTTCATCGCTTCCCCGCGATTTGAATGTGTACAAAAGAATTTATTGGTTTACAAATTTTGGCATCAAACAAAGTTTTTTAGCGATGGGGGGGGGGGGGGAATTAAGCGCGTTTTTATGTTGAGTTTTTCTGTTTGCTTATAAAAACAAATCGTGTGTCTAAAATTATCATTTGTATTTATGCAAAACCAAAATGCATTTTTTGTAAAAATTTTACTAAAAATTGTACCTTTTTTTATACTTTTTATTCTCCCTAATTTTGTGCATCATTAAATTATGATTGGGCAGAAGTATGAGCAATCAAATAATAGTCATTCCTCATCTTTTTGCGCAGTAATCCGATATCTAAATACCACTTGCTCAACTTAAATTTTTTGTCATGGACTCTGAATTAAAATACTATTTTTCAACCATGAGTTAACATTAAATTTTGATTGCTTTTTTCTCTCTAATGTTATCCCACATAATCATTTCTCTTGTTTACTTTTCTAAAATTCCCTACCCAGCACGCGCGATCCTCGAAATTTTCGGATGCTTCTCAAATCCGTTCATTTGTTTAAAAGCCTTACCTAAGCAAACATAATAGTGCCCCTTTTAACTAAAATATTTCTTTATTTTCATCTTAAAATAATCTTAAGGTTATAAAAAACGTTTCAGTGATTATTTGAGAATAATATTTCTCATTTTAAAAGTATTATAAGGATTAAAATAATTAACGCTATTTTCATACTCAGATATTTTTTCTCCCAGTTTTTTTATGTTCCAGGTAACCTTTACCTACTGCGCAAATTTATTTATATTCTTTTCACATTGAGGTTGTGTCTAAACAAAAAATGTAAACATTTAATTTTAAGCGGTCGATATTGCGCTTATTTTAAATTATTTTGTAGTATTTACCCTGTTTTTTTGATAATTTCACGTCTTTCAATTTCCGCGCAAAAAATAGTTTTATTATTTTTTCAAATCCATTGGGAATTATTAATCCAATGTGAATAATAATGGATTTTCTGCTTAACTAATAATATTCCCCTTTTGTTGTTGTTTAATTTAGTGCGCGACATTTTTAATATTTTAAACCTCATTTTTTAATTGTGCGTATTCAATATAGTGTGTACGGACAAAAACGATTGAAAAGGGGGAACATATTTAATAATCGAAAAAAAGGCAACGGAAATAACAATTTTTAATGGGCAAAATATTAAATAATATCGAGAGGATTTACGTAAAATATCTCATTGTACTATTAAAAATGTGTACTAATATATAGATATTTTTAAAGAGAAGTATAATAAATGTATCAAGACTGATTGATACGATGAAAAAATAATAATAGGGGTTTTTATTTAATGAACTTGACCTCCACGTTTTTATAAGCCATTTACCTAACTTCGATTTTAATCATTCCATTATTAATAGTAAATACGATATTAAATTGATACTTATTTTTGCTGCTCATCTAAAACGGTGCTAAAATGGGTTCACTTTATCGGAGCGAGGAGATGCGCTTTTGTCAAGTAGGCTTTTTTGTATTACAAAATCTTTAGCATAACTAGCGTTTTTTATTAATAATTACCCTAGGTATTTTTAGGCACTAAAAATTTGACTAAAATTCTTAATTAGATGATTGTGGAAAGGGATGCTGCTTTTGCCTGCGTTGCAGAACTCGGCAAAAAGCCGTATGTTCAATTTAAAGATGTAAGATTTCATTATTTGAAACTTCAATTTATAACAAAACTAATTTTAGTTAAACGCGGAAGTCAATTCTTTTCAAAGAATGTTTGCCAAGGATATACGTCGCTTTGACGAAATGGAACGAAAATTGAGTGAGATTTTAAATAATTTTAGGTTAATTAAAGCCCAAATAATTGTAATAGGGTTTTTGGAGGCGCAAATTCGAAAAGACAATAACACAATACTTGGAAGTGTTGAAAGTCGAGACCCAATTGAGGTCATGCCGCATCATGAGATTAATCAACTTGAGGTTGTGTTGCATTCAATTATATGTAGCAGTTATCTTTTTTAAGCAAACATTAGTTGATTTGGAACGCGATGTAATTCACATGAATAACAGTGACCAACAATTGAAGCGAAATTATTTGGAGCTTAAAGAATGGCAGCATGTATTAGAGAAGGCGGACCAATTCTTTGAAGGGGTTTGCCGAATTTATAGCCTTGCAAAAATACCTAATTTTAATAGGGAATTAGTGATGCCGCAGTGCATGAGATCGAACAGCAAAGTGCCGCTGCTGAAAGCGAAGCTGGTATTGCTCTGCACTCTGCCGAGAAGGAACCTACTGGGTAAATGATTTGAACCTAATGGGTAAATAATGAATGATCTTATTCTTAGTTATGTAGTTGGGGTCATTCTAACAGAAAAAGTTAATGCATTTGAGCGAATTCTTTGGAGAGTATGGTATATTAATTAATGATATAATGTTTTAACGAGGAATTGCAGTCGACGTACGGCTTTTGTTCGTCACATTGAAATTGAAGAGCATCTGGAGCATCCAGAAACGGTGCTTTTATTGTAGTTTTGTTTTTACATTCTGTTTTTCTATAGGGCGAACCAATTAAAGAATCTGTATTCATCATCTTTTATAACGGAGAACGACTTCGATCAATCATAGACAAGGTCCCAAATTTATTTCTTAAAAGGGACTGTCGTTTACTTGAACTAATAATTTGATATATTTTTTGGTTCATTATTACTGTAAAATGACAGGGCCGAGTTATGACTCAAAGTTGAAGTCTGGAGTACAAAGCTAGATTCATTTTTTGAATTTATTTTTGAATTTATAAATTTTTTGAAAATATGCGTCTTAGTTGTATCAATTTCCTTTATTATAGGTTTGCGAAGGATTTAAAGCTAGGCAGTACAATCAATGCCCACGAACAAGTGATATTCTATCATTCCTGATAGTTTCCGATCATATAATTTTAGGTCCCGACCGAAAGACTGCGCTACAACAAGTTCAAGCGAGTCTTAACGACATGCAAATGGTCATTTTTCTATAAATTTTTTTCGATAATTTTTCGATTTTAGGTTATGTCTCAAACAAGAGAGCATCGAATGAAAGTTTTGAATGCGGTAGCAGCGAATCATCGTAACTGGCTTAAACAAGTGCTTCTTTTTAAATAATTAATTTAACATTATTCAAATAATTTTCTAACAATAAGATTAATTGGATTTCATTGACAGGTTAGAGTCCACAAATCAATTTATTCCACCCTTAACAACTTTACTTTTGATGGAATTGGCAAATTTTTTGTCGCAGAATGTTGGGTTCCGCTTGATGATGTGCAAGCCGTTCGTGAAGCATTGGAAACTGGAGTGGTAAGATTATTTTTATCAATAATTTGCTAGAAATACATTGTGTTATCGTTTTAATTCCAAAATTTAAACAGAGTAAGCATGGAAGCACTGTGAAACCTGTATTAAATGTTGTGCATACCAGTGAAATGTTAGACACTTGAAATTATAAATCACCTCAAAAATTATAAATTAAAGGCCACCTACTTATAACCGTACAAACAAATTTACTGCAGTCTTCCAAGGAATTGTTGATTCTTATGGAGTTGCTTCCTATTTGGAATTGAACCCTGCTCCTTATACTATAATTACATTTCCATTCATCTTCTCATGCATGGTTTATCCTCATTAATTGTATAAAAATACAATTTTTGAATTCAAGTTTGGTGATTTGGGACACGGAATTTTGATGTTTCTTTGTGGTTTGTATTTGGTTGTTAGAGAGCGCAATCTAGAGGCTAGGCAAATAAAAGATGAGGTAGAAATTTTGGTGAAAACTTTAAAATAAAATTTAAAACTTTTTTCAAGATTTTCAACATGTTCTTTGGCGGGCGATATATTATTTTGGTATGAACTTGATTTTTATATCCTTGTGATCAGTAAGCAATTCCAGTTGATGGGTCTTTTCTCAATGCATGCTGGTCTCGTCTACAACGATGCTTTTGCAAAATCATTTTCTATTTTTGGAAGTGCCTGGAAAAATCCTTATCCGTATGTTCATATTTCATCAATTTCTAACTTACATAAGATTCGTTTTTGCGTTTTTTAGTTCAGAGCAAATTGGAAAATGGCTGAACCATTCAGAACATGGGAAGGAGATGTTGGTAGAGTTGCCCTCAGAATTTGCTTTTATGAAACAATCAGGCCCTTATGCGGTATAAACTTAAATTTTTTATGTTTACGGTCAAATTCAATTTGTGAAAAATTCAATAATTCAGTCAGAAAAATTTCAGTTCGGCCTAGATCCCATTTGGAACTTGGCTGAAAATAAACTTAACTTTGCGAATTCAATGAAAATGAAACTTAGGTAATTTTTAAATTTATTTTCATTAATTTATTAATTTAGTGTCATCCTTGGAATTGCTCAAATGACATTCGGTGTATGTCTTTCGTATCAAAACTACAAGTGAGTCATTAAAATATTTCTTTAATAAATCCTTTTATCCTTCTCTCAGATACTTCAATTCATCGGTATCTACTTCATGCAATTTATTAAATTCGAACTAACTTATAGATTGAAATCTTCACGGTATTTATTCCTCAGATGATATTTATGGGTAGTATCTTCATATATCTTTGCCTACAAATTGTGCTAAAGTGGATGTTATTTTGGGTTAAACCTGAGACGATTTTTGGTAGATAAAAACAAACGAGATTAATTTTGTAAAAATATCAGGTCGCCAATATCCGGGTTCGCATTGCGCACCTTCTTTATTGGTAAAAATCTGCTTAACTTTTATATTTTAATTTAGTCTTTTAGATTGGTTTGATCAACATGTAATTTCATTAATTTTCCATCGTTTATCTTATCTTTGACATAGGTTTATGTTTAAAGAACGAGCAGCTGGTTTTACAGAAAATGGACATGAACTACCCAGTTGTTTTCTTAACCAGTGGTATCCGGGCCAGGCAATTTTACTACATTAAAAATAACTAAAAGTTGAGACTTTTCTTTTCAGTCATTTCTTGAAGCAATACTTGTTATCATTGCTGTTCTTTGTATACCTATAATGTTGTTTGGCAAACCGATACATATTTTGATGCATCAACGAAGGGCAAAACGTGCTGTTTCTGATAACATGGTCTATCTACATGAGCTTAAATTTTTGTTTTAAATCAAATTTGATTTCCAGAGTGTAAGAATCAACATGCAAAAGGATGAGACAGAACTTGTGAAAAATGGTAGAAAGCCGTCAAAGACAGCCAATGGGGATCATTCAGGCGAAAATGAACCATCGCATGGAGGTACAGCCTCACATCATGATGAGGCAAGTTTGAGATAAGAATACGAAAAAAATTATCTTTTTGTAGTCTTTTGGAGACATTATGGTCCATCAAGCAATTCACACAATTGAGGTAAAGTTTTTTAACCATCAAAAAGTTCATTCCGATTAGTATGTACTTGGCTGTGTCTCCCATACTGCTTCTTATCTTAGACTATGGGCTTTGTCGCTTGCACACGCACAGCTCTCGGAAGTTCTTTGGGACATGGTACGTTATCAAGCTCACTCTAAACCTTGATAATTCTGTTTTCCAAATCTTATTTAGGTGTTGGAGAACGCCTTTGCATTTAACGACATCAAAGGTTACATCGCACTTTACGCAATATTTTTTGCATTTGGGGTACTCACCTTCTCCATACTTGTGCTTATGGAGGGGCTTTCTGCTTTTTTACATGCCTTACGTCTACACTGGTTAGTGCTTTTGATTCGATTTATTTTAAAATTATTTTCAGGGTTGAATTTCAAAGCAAATTTTACCTTGGACAAGGCTATATATTTGCGCCTTTCTTTTTTAAAGATATTCTACAAAGGGCATCAGTTGCTGAAATGGCCTAAAACTTAAAAGAATTCTAATCAGTCACTTTCAAAATCAACCCTTTCAATGCAAATATAAATGTTTTTAATTATTGGAGGGATCTCCAAGTCTATTTAGATTTTTATTTCATTAGTACTCATATGTTCACTCATTTACTAAATTCAAATAGGTTTTCACTTAATCCGACAGAATAAACTCGGTGTTAAAAACTATATGTTTGAGAATTGTAATAAATCATTTAAAATAGATACATATATTGAAATTTAAAGGAACAAAACAATAAGAATAACGAATAGAACGTCTAAGTGGAATATCTGCATTAAAGGAGAAAATTAAAAAAAAATTTTTTTAATTTTTCGACAAAAAATTACGATGCAGTTTTCGACGATGAACATCCCCGAACAGGCCTGCTTATTGTTAGTATAGAAAACGTTTGAGTCCTATCAAGTAGAACAAACTGATTAAGTTATTATTATTCGAAAATTCTTGATAAACCTTAAATCTGGTCATCTTTTAAAAGTGAGTGTCCTCGTTTATCCTGTTTTATTTTTTTGATAAAATATTCCACATATCAACAGCTTTCGGATTAGTATTTGTTGGCTAAATTTTAATAAAGTATAGTCTGGTACTCAACCGGTATAGTTAAGTATTTTTCTCTGCTCTACTCGTTATTCTCGGGTAGGGAACGATTCAGTATCGCCGATTCAGTATCGCCAATTCAGTACGCCGATTCAGTATTGGCCGATTCAGTATTTGGCTTTTTTGGCCATAACTTTTTGCTCGATCAATATTGTGGGAATTATTATATATGATTTGATAGGCCTCGGGGTGCTGCATCTTTTTCATAATTGAACTGACCTAATCTTATCACTCTACAAAAAGTTATCACTGATAAACGACGTCACAGGCATAAAGAATCGGTTTTCACGCTGTAACTTTTTTTGTGATCATCAGATCTGATCGGGCCTATTATGAAAAAGATTCGAATCTCGAGAACTTTCGAATGATATGAGAATTATTCAAATCGGTCGAATATTAGGAAAGTTATGGCCATATACTGAATCGGCGGATACTGAATCGGCGATACTGAATCGGCTATACTGAATCGGCGATACTGAATCGTCCTTAACCGTTATTCTCACTCTAAGAGCAATACAATTCGGCGCGCGCAGTCCAGCGTGCATGATTCATTTTTTTTTCGCACTCGTTTTTGGCCCATATTTTGATATTTTTGGACCATTAATTTTTCAGAAGGAAAAAACACGATGCCAAATAGTGCTGCGTCGAATTGAGTGCCCAAATGTATCGACTTAACCCCATCACGAAAAATTTTTTTTCTGATTTCACAAATTTTAGCTTTTGATCTACTTACATGTTGGTCTAAATAAATTAAATTAAAACAAGCTATCTGCATAATGTCTTCTGTTTCATTAGCCACACCATCAAGATGCGACAATGTCGAAAAGGTCCATAAAGAAAAAACTGGTTCCAAAGTACGAATACGAGCTCTTTTGGGTCGTCTTTTCAATAATGGCTCTGATAGTGATTGTGCACAGAACGGAATTGCAAATCAACATAGTGCAAATGAAATATCAGGGCCATACAACACAGTTCACAGGATACATGTAAGTTTTGTAATGTAAATGTTTCTGCATCACTAATTATGTATTTTAGGTTGGTTATGATGGACAAAAGTTTACTGGATTGCCACAATCTTGGTTGGAAATGCTGCAGCGAGACATAACGTTTGATTTTAGTTTATTTATTCAAAATCTAAGGATTTTTGGGATACTTTCCTAAGCTTCATTTTTTAAGAGAAATAGATCAAAAACGTAATCCAACTGCTGTTGTAGCTGCTTTAAAGACTTATGCCCAACTGTTCAAACAAAATGACTGTGACAGATTTATGATAACTCAAAAGTCTGTTTATGCTGATGATGATTTTGTCGTCTATGGCACAAGCGGGCAAGAAATTTCTCGAACTTCTGCTAGTCTAACTCCTAGTACAAATTCCAGCGGATCACATGGTAATTTAAACGACTGGGACAATTTTGTTTAATAATCTAAACAAAATTTTATAGAGTTGGACAAACCCTCAACATTTGATATTATTCATAGAAGCAATTCCGAATCTTCATTCAGCTCAGATGATGTTCAACAGGATACAACCAACAAAATTAAAGATTCGGATGAAAAGCTGTATCTGTTTAACCGAGGTTTATCATTTTTATTTATTTTTCGTAAATTTGTCCAAATTCATGAAATGCTGTTTCGAAATTCTAAAATTTAGATGAAACGGCTTGTTGTGACAATAAACTTTTGGTCGAATCAAAGATGATTATTGCTTCCAATTCTATCAATTTGGACGAACATTTCACTGGAAAAGATGAGAGCACTGAATTAAATGGTATGCATTTTGTTTATTCACCTTTTCTTCCTCGTCTATTTAAAAATGATTAGAGTTGTCAGATTTCCTTAATTTCGATCTGTTTCGTTATGGAATCCTAAACGAATGATGTACCGCTTTTTATTATTGCATGGACTTTTTTTCTTATCGCACCTATTGCCAAGACGTATCTTTCCCCATCTCCTTTCCGATTCAATCATTAAAGTCGTTGTGATGTAATCCCTTTTGATTCTATTCGCGTAAAGATTGGATAGAAAGGTGTAGATTGAAATTCGGGAAGGAATAAAGCCTGTCCTCTAATTTTTTACAGTGCAAGGATATAAGGGGGCGTAAACGAGATTATAATTTTCTCTATTGATTCTATTAAAAATTTTCAGGGGCAGTTCCTCCATTAGCTCCACCACGCAAAACTGTTGCAGCAGTAATATCAGAGGATTTATTACCAACTGAGACTCAATCTTCAATTTCTTCAGTTCAGTTCTTTCCAAATAAAGCTGACAGTTGTGATGATGTGAAAGGATTGTCAACACGGAATCACAAAAACTTAGACTCTTGTGAGATAAATTCATCCGTGAATGCGTGTAAGGCGCCGCCTCCTTTGCCACCAAAGCCAAAAGTTTGTTTAATTTTTTGAACTCTTTTGGTTTCTTTTGTAACTTTTAACACCCATATCAAATTTTAAACACTCGGTTAAACACCCATCTACCTTTTATTTTTAAAAAACATTGAATCATATTTAGCACATCGCCTTATTGCTATGATCCCTTTATGCTTTCTTACACCTATTAAAAGGATTTTTTATCAATCTTTACGCTACATTTTTTCACGCAGCACCAATTTTCTTTCCCAATTTGCACACACCGAATATTGGTTTTTTCGACTGGCATATGCAGCAATGTTGGGTGTAGTGTGCTCATTTTATTTGCTGTTTCACCCCTTTTATAAAATCGAATGCCCTTTGCGCTTTAGTCGTTCTTTTCATTCTTTCATGATTGATCTCATAATAATAACATGATTTATAAGGGTCGAGGGAATAGGAATGGAGACATTTTTATTTGCTGGTTATTCGGTTACATACCTTATGCATTTTAGGTTATGCATTTCATAAATTTGAATTTTCGTTTTTAATTTATCTATTGCTCTCTTTAATAATAATTCTTTTTAAAGAAATTCTCATTAAAATAAACGTATTTTTACCTGAGTCGTAAAATTATCTGCCAAAATTCTTTTCGATACAGCTTCAAATCCACTGTGCCTTTCGGTACAATCTCCTTTTGCGGCATATATTGAGTACATATATCATGTGGTATAATTTACAAATTGGTATTAATATTGGTATTAATATTATATGTTCATTTTCGTTGATTTTTAGTTAGATTTAAAAATCTTCAAAAGAACAATGAAAAATATTAGTACCACACAGATTTTTAAATTAAAAATTTTTTTCTTCGTTCATCAATAAAATCCTGTTTATAACAATTGATATTAAACTATATTTTTCTGGTTTATAATCCACATCAAAACACATTTCCTTTAAATATTAAATAATTTCCTTCTAATTATATATATTAATAATTTTCTAAATTAAGCATCTCAAAAGTTCCTCCTCATCGCCTGCTGGAAATGGCTTCAACGGTTTCTCCTCCCAAGAATCTGCTTATTTTTTAACTGACAATGTCGTTTCATGTGAAAATTTGAACATTGAAAATACCAGGGTGAATGTTGCTGAAAGCGTCAGGTGATTTTGAACTAACTTCATAGCATTTTTTGATTGTTTATTTTTATTCTTTTAGCTTTTCACAAGAATCCTTGCACACACATGACAATCTTTCAAACAAGTTAGCTAATTTTGATATAGATGTTCGATCAACTGATAAATCATGTGGATCAAGCTCAAATAGTTTGAACAAACAGGTATATTCTTAAAGTACAAAGGCCTATGATGTCGTCAGAGCCTCACCTTTTTAGTTCATTTTCAAATTTTTAATTCTTTAAAGAATATTGTCTCACCATACTCATCACCTTTGCACCGTTACCAACCCTTACTACCTTCAACTGCGACTGTAACAGATAAAAGTCGAGGTTGTAGTAATTGCAGCACCGTTTCAACTAAATCATCACCAGTACGTCACCAACAAAATTGCAGCAGAAAATCCAATACTAGCATTAATGGCGTCAACGCTGGAATTCAAACTCCCCTTACATTTTGCGCGAATAATGAAGGAACACAAGTATCGGCAAAATGTGTGGACCCGGTTTCCATTATTTGATATTTTATTATTTTACAGTAACTTTTTATATAGGCTGCGTCACATGATAATCAAGATTTATGCGTTCATTCGCCTATTGCGCATGTAAGAAACTTCACCGCTACGAATACAGCTAATACCGTTAAACAGCGGACACCTAGACAGGTCAACGATCAACCGATAAACGCAGCCTCAGAAGATGGTAATGAAGTTGTACGAACAAGACAATCAAGATTCAGGATGACTGATCAACAGGTGAAGGGTTAAAGTGTTAATGACAGGGGGCGTGTTGTTAATCTTTAATTTTTTAAATTTTATCATGTAAAGGTCCTTAATGAATTAAAGCGAATTGTTAACAGCGGTGATCCTTTCCAGAAGTATCAACTTATTGATAAAATTGGCGTTGGCGCTACCGGTATGTAACGTTAAATTTTAAAATTGGGAACTACCATGTAAGATTTAATTAGCGGGCAGTCGCTGAAATTACTGTTTCTATTTATAGCTTCAATCGCAAATTGATTAATTGATATTGATTAATTTAAATATATAAATAAATAGAATGAGTGACTTTTCACTTATGTTAGTTTTAAATATTAGGTAATGTTTGGACGGCTAGATGCAAATTTACTGGAGAGGTGGTCGCGGTTAAACGGATGGCATTCAAATCGCAGCCCAAAAAAGAGGTTATAATTCGTTAAATCTATCTGAAAATAACTTTAAGATGTTGTTAACTGAAATCAAAGTAATGCAACAATACAAACATAAGGTTTAGAGTTTTGTTTTCCATAATATTTCTAAATCAGAATTTGGTTAACTATATTGATAGTTATCTGGTAGGCGCTGACGACTTGTGGGTAATTATGGATTTCCTCAATGTGCGTATTCTTTAATTTAATATGAGTAGCTTAAAGTATAGAATTTAAAATTATCTAACTATTATAAACTATCAAATATTGTCAATTAGGGTGGTAATCTGACTGATGTTGTTGTAAAAACGGAACTTGACGAGGGGCAAATTGCAGCTGTTTTAAAGGAATGCCTTTTAGCTTTGGATTTCCTACACAAGTAACGAAAATTTAATTCTTATTTAAACATTAATTTCTGATTACATATTTTAGGCATAGCATTATCCACAGAGATATTAAATCAGACAACGTTCTTTTGGGTATGGATGGTGCTGTGAAACTTACTGGTTCATTTGAAGCCCCAAAGTTATTATTTTAAAATTTAGATTTCGGCTTTTGTGCTCAATTGCAACCTGGATCCAAAAGGGCAACAATAATTGGTACACCATATTGGATGGCACCGGAGATTGTAAACAAAACAAAATATAACTACAAAGTGGATATATGGTCATTGGGAATCATGGCTGTTTGTTTTTTAGATTTTATTTAATATACATAAGTATAAATTTAAAAGTGACTAATTTTGTCTAGTTTACAAATATTTTAATTGTCATTCGGTAATTGAATTTTGTATTAAGCTAGAAATGGTTGATGGTGAACCTCCTTATCTGTCTGAAACTCCATTAAGGGTAAATTTTTGCAAATAAATAAATGTCAAATTTGCAACTTTAGGCCATTTACTTGATTGCACAAAATGGAAAGCCGGAAATTAGGAGGATGGCTGAACTTGTCAGTTATTTTTATTCAGATAACTCAAATTAGGAACATCAAATTTTCTTAAAATACACTAATTTTTCAGTCGGAAGAGTTCTTGGATTTGATAAATCGGTGTCTTTGTGTTGATCCAAATGAGCGTGCAGACACAGAAGAACTATTAAACCATCCGTTTATTGCGAGGTTTTAAAATTAGGATTATTTGTCTCCTTTGTAACCTTAAATATTTGAAGGTCAAAATCGCTAGACTGTCTGATACCCTACATAAAGGTTGGTTCCAGTTAAAATAATTATAAGTTTTGTAATTTTTAAGGCAGTGAAAGATTTACGAAACCAATGAAGCCACTGGTTTGAAGACCAAAAAAGGCATTACTATTGCTTTCATATTTAATTACTTGCCATGTTTATGCATATATACTAATATAATATTTATTACTATACTGATCTATTTTGAAGAAGATTGTGATTTAAAGCTAGTGTTTGGAAGCTCGTACCAAAATTCGTACTTGTGCATGTATGTATATGAGTACGAGAAAAGGCGTCCAAGTACGACAAATCGACATGTACTTTGTCATGCAATCGCAACTTTAGTTGATCGGAATCCATTACATTACACCATCTCCTGCTTAGCCTTACGAATTATGGCTGTATGCTTTACACTTATTTCTTTACATAAGTATATATGTAGTTTATATAATACTTATATGTATATCAATGCGTATTATTTTTTATCAACAAGCTTAAGAGAAGCCGTTTCAACTTATTAACTTTCATTTTAGTAGTAGTTAGCTCTGACGTAATAAATAACGGCGCTAGTTACCTTAGTGACTGTTATCGACATGCGGAACCTGGAAGCTAAGTATATATTTGTAGCTAGCTGCTATCACATTTGAGGGTGGAAGTGCTGACGTTATTCTTCAACAACAGCAGCCAATTACATCCCCCTATGCATAATTCAAAGGCATTCTTACTAATGCGCATTGCCGATTGCCGTTAAGAAATAATAAAAATTAGAGCATTAACAAACAATTTGATGTGTAACCACTGAACTACATATACCTACGTAGTATCAGTTACATTACTATATATCACACTGAAATCGAAAAAACCAAATTATGTTGAATACATATTCCCTTATCCAACATCAAATTGACACCAAAAGATAAACTAGATTTTGCTTGCGTTTTAATGTCACATGGCCCGTGCTTTTTCCAAATCACTATTTCTCGTAAAGATTTATAAAAATATTTTTTTCTTTTTAGTATCAACTTTCAATTTAGCACACAAAGCTTTTTACTTTGTTTTTCACCCGCATGTCATGTCCAATTTATGTTAAAAATTTACTGTTAAATACATATTTGTATCCACATCTAACAATGTTCTATATTATACAATCCCGATGTTAAAATAGTTAAAAACTAGAAACTAGTCAGCTATTTCCATATACTTACATATAGATACATCCATAATATATCTTTATAGGAGGGAGTACGTTTCTTCCTGGTCTAAATACAGCAGCTTTTTGCTTTTTAGCTATCGATTTACTTATGCACTGTCCTAGAGTCTTCCCATTTTTAAAAAATACATCCCGACGTGTGGATACGTCAAGCATATACAGAGATGGGAAACACTAAAAAGCCAGTAAACTGCAACTGCTTCTTTCATAGCGTTATTACCATAACTAAAGGGTGGATGCTTGCCCCCAGAATATTTTTCGATATCCGAGCGCTCTGAATTTGGGTTTAATGTTTGTAAATGGAATTTGGGGCAATATTTACGTAAGATTTATTGCGCATACAACAGCTTACTGTAAATTTTTGTTACTAAAGTTTTTGTTTTAAATAGTCCCTGACGTGTCTGGTGATTTCGGCAGAAGTGACGTAGGCAGTGGTTAAATGGGCAGTGAGTGATTTAGGCTGTAAGGTGAATTGGGCAGTGAGTGATTTGGGCAGTAAACGATTTTTAAAAAAATATTTTTCACATAAAAACAATTTGAGTATCAACGAAAAAATAAATATGCGTGATTTGGGCAGTAAATTTTATTCTTCAAGAATATGTTTATAACTAGGGCTCGGATTTGTATTGAAATATATTTTTTCCAGAATATATTATGCCTCCGGTCTTGTGCTGATCATTTACACTTTAAGATATACTTTTAAATTTGTGAGCAATAATATTTTTTTAAAAACAATAATTTACTGCCTAAATCACTCATAATCTGATGATACTCAAACTGTTTTTACGTGGAAAATATTTTTTTTAAAAACGTTTACTGCCTAAATTACTCACTGCCCAATTCACCTCACTGCCCAAATCAATCACTGCCCATTTAACCACTGCCTACGTCACTTCTGCCGAAATCACAAAGCACCGTCCCTGATAGTCCCTAAATTTATTGCAAGTAATTTCTTAGTGGCGTTTTCTTTTATCATATTTACCCTCGCTTAAGTCTCGGTTGAACGACCATCAACTTAACTATTCTCGACACTTCTTACCCTTTTCAAAATAAATTTGTCCTAACGCATTTAAACCTGCAGACAAAAAAGCAGTAGCGTTCTCTGACATACTACATACTATCTCAGCATTCTACATACATTCTCACTCGCTGTGATTTGAAAAAAGAAAAGTGAAAGGTGGCTGTGGCAAACTTTCACTGACATCGATTGATTGAGCTCATAACGGTCTTTACAAACAGCAGCTGAAACCATTATACACTTTTGCTGCACTTATCCTTTTTAACCTAACATCAATACAAAATCAACAACATATGAGTAGGCTGTCACGCTTTATTAATTACTAACAACCTTAGTCAAGAGAATAACTTCTAACACATCGATAATTGTAAGAAATTTTATATTTGTACTACATATAATTATTACCTTATTGATCGTCAATAACTGAAATCTAACTGAAATTTTTAGGATAACTAATTTTTTTTGTATCTTAAGGCTAACTGCTTTACATTAGCAGAATTGCTTCATGGCCTCAGCGGCTACTGATTCATCTGCAGTTGCAACAAATGCTTCTGCAAGTGGGGCAAACTCACCAACAAGTGCAGCGCAAACCTCAATTGCAGCCGTTAGGCGTCCACAACCGACACATTCAACTACAGAGAGAGTAATAAAATGTTAGTTATGATTTATTTTTTAATGTTACGAGTGGGCATTTTAATGTTACGAGTGGCCTAAAACTTAATTTTTGAATCCCGGGCAGGGCTGATCGAAATAAAAATATTTTTTATTTCGAATCGAAACGAAATAAAAAAATTCCTATTTCGTTTCGGAGCGAAACGAAACGAAATGAGCTTGTTTCGGACGAAACGAAACGAAATAAACGAAATAAAATAAAAATTAAAAAATTTGTATTTTTCAGTTCATAAAGGCTTTTTATCGATATTTAAATCATAGATATGCACCCCAAGAGCTAGATGCGTCACAAAAGCAACCCAGAAAAACGAGTGACTCATATAAATCTGCCGTTATCCCCATTAATCCCCTCAAATCGACATATATCCGCTTTAATCCTCCGATATCCTATTAAAATCCATCGATATATCCAAATTACTTTGGAGTATACCACTTTAGATATTGATCAAGACGGATATTAAGAGGGATAAACGAGATATCTTCTATATCCCTTGCGATATCTTGTATATCCCCCTCCCAAAACCACCTATATTCACTTAATCAATAAAATCCAAATATACACAAAATCCACCTATATCCCCTCAATCTTGCCCATACCACAATATCACCTTAATCTTGCCAAATCTCAGCTCAATATCACTAATCCCTCGAGATCTCTTTTAATCCACCGCACAAAGTAATAAAAATTTTAGTATAACTCTAATTTGGAGTACAACTCCAGCATATTCAAATCTAGGTTTCAAAATTTTTATTGTTTTTAGATCACAGAAATGAAGATTTCTGACTATGGTAGGTTGGGCGACGGAAGGCTGGTCTGCTGTAGCAAACCCCGTAAAAGCTTTCTTCCTTTTTAGCGCCGCAGGCGAAAATTTTTTAATTTTAGGCTGCTCATAAGACAAAAATCGCTAAAAAATTAATGATTATTTCCTTAAATTCCCATCATTAGGGGTGTATTTTCTCACTTTTTTTTGTTTCGTTTCGTCCTGAATTTTGTCTATTTCGTTTCGAAACGAAACGAAATAAATTTTTTTCTGTTTCGTTCCGAAACGAAACGAAATGGAAAAAAGGGCACGAAAGAGCGAAACGAAACGAAACGAAACGAAATTTCGATCAGCCCTGATCCCGGGTACCTTAAGTCGCTATCTAATTTTTAAATATTTCTAGCTGTTCAATTCCCTATCAGTGAAAGATTGACACTTGACGAAGTCTATGATCGGAGAACGGGTAAACCGCGAGGTGACCTTCTTAAAGAACATTTCATCAAAGAAGGACGAATAGAGGAAGAGGCTGCGTTACGAATTATTAATGGCAACCTCTGCATAGTTTTTTAGAATTATCTTTTCTTTCTTAGAGTGCACTGCATTGTTTCGGCAAGAAAAAACTATGCTAGATATTGAGGCACCGGTCACGGTGTGCGGAGATATTCACGGCCAGTTCTATGATCTTATGAAGCTTTTTGAAGTTGGAGGGTCACCTGCAGCAACAAAATACTTGGTTAATTTTTATTTTTTAATAATACAAAACTTTTTTGGGTCAGATTAAGCATTTAATGATCTTTAGAATTAAGCAAAACTCCTTAAACGTACATAGATTTTTCTTTTTCAGTTTCTGGGTGATTATGTTGATCGTGGTTATTTCAGTATAGAATGTGTACTTTACCTTTGGGCACTAAAAATATCCTATCCTTCAACACTGTTTTTATTGCGCGGAAACCATGAATGTCGTCATTTAACTGAATACTTCACCTTCAAACAGGCAAATAATTTTCTATTAAGAAAATTTTATTTGTAAATTTATCACATACAGGAATGTAAAATAAAGTATTCCGAAAGTGTTTATGATGCTTGTATGGAATCTTTTGACGCTCTTCCTTTAGCTGCTTTAATGAATCAACAATTTTTGTGCGTACATGGAGGTCTCTCACCCGAAATTCATACTCTTGACGATATAAAGAAGGTTGCCATTTATTTTAATCTCATTTTTATGTAGCAGAAGACTATGTTATTTAAATTAAAAAGCAAATTATAACAGTTGGATCGCTTTAAAGAGCCACCAGCTTTTGGGCCAATGTGTGATCTTTTATGGTCTGACCCACTCGAGGATTTTGGTAATGAGCGAAATTCAGAACAATTCTCTCACAATTCCGTACGTGGGTGCTCATACTTCTACAGGTATTTGCCTTTATTAAGAGTTTAAAGTAACCAAGGTTAATTTTTACCATTAGTTATTCTGCTTGTTGCGATTTTCTTCAACATAATAATCTCCTTTCAATCATTCGTGCACATGAAGCACAGGATGCCGGATATAGAGTATCGAATAATTTAATCTATTTTGTGTATATTTATTAATTTAGATGTACAGAAAGTCGCAGGCCACCGGATTTCCGTCGCTTATAACTATTTTCAGTGCTCCCAACTATTTGGATGTATACAATAATAAAGGTTTAATAATAAGTTAAAATTGCTGATTTATGTACTATAGCTGCCATCCTCAAGTACGAGAACAATGTTATGAACATACGTCAATTCAACTGTTCTCCTCATCCTTACTGGCTGCCTAACTTTATGGACGTATTTAGTACGTTTATTTAAGATTCGTTCGTTAAGGAATTTTAGGCTGATATATTATTTAATTTCAGTTCAACATATTGTAAAATAATATTTAATAAACAATTTTGTTTTAGCATGGTCTTTGCCATTTGTCGGGGAGAAAGGTTCGTTTAATCGTTGTTTGAATAGATGTGATTTTTTAAATTACTTTTTTTCCATTTCAGTAACAGAAATGCTTGTACATATTCTAAACATTTGTTCTGACGATGAGTTGATGGCTGAAGGAGATGATACATTCGAAGGTTGGTGCAGGCCTATTATTTAAGCAGTTAAACGCTTTAAGCTACTAATAGGTATTCATTCAAGTTTAATTTTCGAGAAATACATTTAAAATATTCCATTGGGGAAGTTTTAATTTGTAATTTAATCTGTTAGACTTAGAAAAAATAAATTTTGATGTGAAGTTTGTGCATGAATATGTTTTTAGTTGATTCACTTATCTCACAAACAGCAACATGTTTTTATTATCTTGCCGAGTGAAACGTTTTGTTTGTTATCCCTTTTTATGTTTTGTGCTTATTTAATGTCATTGTCTCCTGTATAATACTAAAAATTAACAGTTAATAAGTACGATTTCTCCATATTTATGTTTTCTTGTTTGTTAAATTTAATCAAGATATAATTTTTGCTAACTTAATTCCTTATATTTTTAGTTGCTATTTTTACTGTGTTTGTGGGGCGATCATTTTAAGACAATTCTTCAAAATTCGAAATTCGTTTTGTTAAGATAGGAAAAGTTGATTTTTTAATTTATTTTTATAAATTTTTGATCCATTAATATTTCTTGACGTTTCATTCGGCATTTCCCTTAAAATTTATTAAAGTTGCTGATTGTGGGTGTGAATCAATCCATAATTATGCAATCACAATTGCATTTCATACACATGCACTTTCATACCAAGATAGTTGTGAATAACTTTTTAATTATTTTGTTATTAATATTACTAGTTAAAAGCTAGGTAAGCATTAAGATATAAGAATAGACATAAACATAAGGAAAATTGAAAATTTTGTAAACAAATTTTTGGTTTATTTTTATTATTGGTTTATCTAACATTTTACTATTTTATGCATTGATCTTATGCAGGAACCGAAGGTGGGCAATCAAATAGCTCATTTTCCTTTTTGGTTTTAGTTTTTATTTTGCTTTTTGGCCTTTTATTTTTTTAATTCCTTGTTTTTGCTTGATCTATTTTTTGCTTTAAGTATTTGTTCGGGGATTAAATTTTATTTTCTTCATTCTAGAACTAAAAAATGATCGCCTCACTAAATTTATTACGATTTGGTTATCAAATATTAAGTTTACTAAAGCTGATAATTTTACAAACATTTTATAGTCGACTAATAATTTCACTATTTTTGCAGTGAACTTATGTACATTTTCTAACAATTTATTTATAATATTAGCTCTGTTTATTACTAAAAAAGATGGGAAATTTTTGCTTTGAGTCTGTTTCTGTTTTATATTTCTTTTTGCTTCGGGAATTTTTTTGCAGTTTTCCATAAGCTTTTGTTCTTCTATTTTCCCTTTAATTTAGGTGGAATGCCTTCAACGCGGAAAGAAATCATTAGGCATAAAATCAGAGCTATTGGAAAAATGGCACGAACATTTTCTGTACTGAGGTTTTGCATTATTTCTGCATTTCAATAAAACACTTCAAATGATTTTTAGGGAAGAGAGTGAGACAGTACTCCAACTTAAAGGCCTAACTCCAACTGGTTCGTTGCCGCTAGGCGTTCTTTCAGGAGGAAAACCGGCAATCCATCAAGGTATTATCTTAGAAAAATCTCTGCTATCTATTTGAACAATTGTAACCCTAAATCGATTAGACGATTTAACTTTTCAGCACTAAAATGCAGCAATGACCCACAGCATCCGATAAAGTCGTTTGAGGATGCCAAGAAGTTGGATCAAATCAACGAACGAATGCCACCATCAATGGCAACTGCAGCTACTGGTTCAATAGCGTCATCACAAAGTGGAAGCAGGGAAGCATCACCGCGTCGACCTAATTCTACGTCAAGCGCAACCAGTTTTAAGCCTGGCGGTTAATATGAAGTACATACTATAGAAACCTAAGGTAAAATGACAATAACGTTAAAACTGCCAGAATACAGTTCTTTATTCGATAGTTGTCACACTTGATTCGAAAAACATCTTTTGTCTGTTCCATCTGCCCGGTTTACTAATGTCTACAATATATTTTGAAAAAGCATTTGCGGGATGGGCTGCTGTAATTTTATTTCTTTTCGAATTCCAAAGGACGTTTTTATGCGTTTAAAAATACTTATCTCGTATATTTTTTGTAACATGAATATATCTAAATATTTCAGTCATCTTTAATAACTAGCTAATTGATACTTTAAATGTTTATCCCTTTATTGTTTTTCACATTTTATTTCTTACTGTTATCATACATTAATGTTCGGCTTAAAATTTTAACAGTAAAATAACGCACTATTAGATCATTTAAAGCTGTTAATCTTTTAGAATATGAAAATCTTAGAACAATTGACAATTTGTCAATTTTCTGGAAAATTTCTGTAAACACCAGTTACGGAACTGAAATCTCATTTATTCCACGTTAAACTTATTTTTCTTCTTGGATTTAGTTAAAATTAGGGATTTGGACTTACATCAACCCGTTTAATAGAAAATAACTGGTTTAATACTAATTAAATTTTTATCCACATGAGATATGCCTACTTTTTGCTACTATTTTTTAAGAATCACTATAGCATTTACCATATATAAGTTAATCTAACTAAAAATTAATATAAAGAAGCGCTCAGGGATGAAAGCACGAAGGAATGGTCATCAAAGTAAAAATATCCAAAAAAACATGAGCTAAAAACATGAACTAAGCAGCAATTTAAAATTTATATAAGCTCAAGAAAGCGCCCAGCCGGTTGGTAATCCAATTACGTTTATTAAATCTGGATTGCGCTTTAAAATTGCTTATAAAGTTGCACAAAAAATGACCGTGTAAAGCATATAAGAGCACTCGACATTATTCATCTTCCCATTCAGTAATTCGTCTCCATGCAAGAATATTTTTACTGTGAAAAATCAAATTCACATGGTCATCGAAATTTGTTTTAAAAATTAATTAAAAAATAGAGATATGTGCATTATACGAATGCCATATTGAAAATTATCAAAACATGATAAGTTATGCTAAACATTTTTTCGACGATACACGTATTAGGATAAATTATATTTAAATTTTTCTATAGAGATTAGAAAACTAATTTATGTTGCGAATAACAGCTTTGCTTTTAATTGCTCTTTTGTGTTTGGAAATGGTCAATAGCTGTGGATTTCCAATGCCCGCTCCTGCTCCAACAATGTGTTGTTGCGGCGGTGGTGGTGGCGGTGGATGTGGACGCAGGAAGCGCACAGTTCAACCACATTTTAAAGGTTCAGAGATTCCTTGCCCACAGGTATCAAAATTAAATTCAAAAGAAACAAAATGCGAAATTTGCTTTTAGATTGAATGGAAGCGAATAGTTGAAAAGGTATGGTTTAAACATAAAATTGGGCAATCCCGGAGAATTGGGGTTTCTTCGAAAAAAAACTTTAAAAATAAGAAAAAGGTTTTTTCTAGGGTAAAAAAATATGCTGATTACGAATCTGAGCTCGGATTTTGAAAAAGTCGAATCCCGGACCCGAATTCGGAATTTGACCCCGGACATTGTAGGACATTGTACAAAATGGTCAGTCTTTCATATGCAGGTAGAACTCATCGAGATGCATCGAATGACACCAAA